GGGGAGAGAAGAGCTAAACAAAATTAATGAAAATCAAAAACCCAACGTCTCACAATCTTGTAGTAGTATCTGAATGAGTTAAAAACAGAAACCCCAGTGAGTTAAACTACCAAACAAACTATTAACAGAATTAACATGCAACCTAATCAATCATATTAGGTCACCTTGGAATTGTGATATTTTTCTTCTTCTTACCAAAAAGTTAGATCCTTCATCTATATAGAAATTATCAAAGCTGAAAACTCTAAGAATCATTTTAGCTATACCATAATTACTAATATACATTGCTTTGTCTATTTTCTGATTCCCAATAAACACAGCTTGGATATCTTAAAACTACTGGGTGCAACAATACTCATTGTTGGTTAGTACATGACCACTTCTATAAAACCACTGAAAAAATATAAAGAAAGCTAGGTTTGCAAAAACGAGGCATCCTCCATTGTTTATGAAATGTACCCTGACTGCTCCTGAGTAAGAAGGGAGCTCGTCCTCCATGAGATAAGGCTATAATCTCACTTGTTGGTGAGAGTAAATTCTACCCTTAGAAAATCTCAAATGAAATTACAGCAAAGGTAGTGTTCTAAGCAATGAACTGAAACATTTTTGAAGGTAGTGTGTGCACATTTCCACCGCTTCCCCTCTGGGTGAGCACTAAGACATTGCTAATTTAGTAAGTAAATAATAAAAAGAAAATGATAAAGTATAATTATAAACGACCCAAGTATTTATCAAGAAACCAAATTTCTTAAACTCAAAGGTTCATCATTTTAGTTTCACCCTTCAACTAGTTGAATTATAGAAGAAAAACTTGAAAATTTTTGTAAGATGGTTTTCCAATTTGTAGTGACAAAGCTCCCAGTATTAACAGAGGTGATTTCTAAATGGGGGCTTATTTTCTTCTTTTCCTTCTTCTTTGTCTTTTTTTTTTTTTTTTTTTTTAAAGTAAAGACAAACATAAATAAAGGGGAAAAAAAAAAAAAAAGAAAGAAAGAAAGAAAATGAAGAAAAGCATGCAGGCTCTACAGGCAAGGAGTCCACTTCCATGTATCTGGTCTCTGTGAGGTAACTCAATTCTCTGTGTAGAGAAACATGCAAAAGGCCAAACAATATTCCGAGCCGTACTGCACATGGAAATTTAAACTATGCAACATTCAGAATGCACCTTTCACCTCTGTGCACAAGTCAATGCAAAACCTGCAAAGAAGCAAGTGTCACAGTAATGAAGTCAGGTGCAGCGGTGACGGCTGAACAATGATGCAGTAGTGCTCACCCAGTTTGTACAGTAATTGGCACTCTACAGTATTCCTACTCAGTTTTTGATTCATTTGCACTTTGTGCTGCCTCTCCCTGGGGATCTAATTCAATCTTTACAGAAACATCTGGCCCCTCCGACCTCATTAATTTCATCTTTTTCTTTGGAGGGTTTTTCAAAGTGCCCAGCCTCTCCTTTACTTTGTACTCCAGTGTACTGTGGGGAATCCCATAAATACTCTGAGCTTTGGAAACACTCATTTTTCCACTCATAACCACCGAGATTGCTTCCTCCAGTATCTCACTGTTGTACTGTCTGTATCGCCCTCTTTTCTTCCGAGGCTGCTTGGAGCCAGGGTCTCCTTCTTGATCCGATGTGGGATATGGCTGTCCAGAGGTAGACTGCTCAGCATCTGAGCCCCAAGAATCAGGTCCAGCATCTAATATGCTTTTTCTATTTTGTTTTGGAAGAATAGCCCTTAATTTTTTACTAAGCGCGCTCTCCGTTTGTGAACCCATTACCAAAGAGCTATAGCTGTATTGATCACCAGTACGAGAATCCCAAGAAAGATCCATTCCTCGAACTTGTGGTATCTTTAAATCTACAGGCGATGAATGGCTCATGTCCCTTTTTCCATCTTGTTTTGTTTGATGTGCCATTTTTGGAAAGGCAGAGTTCTCTGCAAGAAATGGAAGGTCACTGATGTTGCTGAGTGCACCATTTCCCCTGAACTTCATGCGGTTGAGGTTGAATTCATAATGAGGTTTTGCCCAAGAGGCTTCCCTGGATAATATTAAGTGCTGTCCATGATTCTGTAATCCAGATGGCCCAAGGCTGGCAGCTGTGGACAATTGGTTTCTGCTCAGTAGTTCTTCACTAATCTGCAGGGATCGAGCCAGTGGAACTTTGAGTGATGTGGAGTGTCCAAAACCTTCCCTGGTTCCATCCTGTAAGCTTCTTGGAGGTACCCCATCACCACTCCGAAGTCCATCTGGGCGGTACTGGCTGGGTCTCCCAGGTCGCCTAATTGGATGGAAGGAAACTGATGTGAGCAGGACTTGCACAGGAAGGGAGGGGTGGGTGAGGGGACCACTCCTTTATTAGAAGGCCTTGCTTGGGTAACATCACTTTGTGTTTTTATTTATTTTTCTCTAAAATTAAAAAAACACATGGTCTCAGCAGTTAGTTTAAAAACTTGATCACAAAAAGGAAAAAAGGGGGGGAAAAAAGAAAAACCAAAACAAACAAACAAACAAACAAACAAACAAAAAAAAAAACCCAGGAATTTTTGGGCAAAGAAAAATTAAGCCTGTTGGCAGTCTCTGGTTGGGTTCACAAATTTTCGGAGAAAAAGTTTCGCGCAACTGTTTGAAAATAGCACCTGAACCATTAATTACAAAGTAATCATTAGTGTCTTCATTATCTATACAGAATTGTTTACCAACGTGACGTTACCACTAAACAAGCACAGTAATAAAAGAGTAAGCCAAATTATTTATTTTAATGCAGTGTATTCAATAGTCATAACAACTAGCTAGAAAGCTAGCAGCATTCACACTGGTGAAAACCATAGATAATTACTCATTTATGCTACAAACAAAATAATGTTTATTATTAAAATTTAAACAATTCCAAATGACATTTCTTGTACTGCTTGGGAAAAACCTATATATGGCAAACAGTCCCAAGGTGAGGGAGGAAGTCAAGTGAACTTACCACACTCCTTCATTACAACCCCTACTGGCTGTACGCAGACACAAGTACCACACTTCCACAAAGTAACTTTTTATTTTGCCTTAAATTTTGTTGTTATATTCAGAACCAATAAAATCAGAAGTATAAATAACTTGGTAGCAATCTTCTTTAAGGGAAAAAAAAAAACCCTTTTTCCTTAAAATACCATATGTTCATGTTGAAATAATGTTTAAAAGTCAATTACTTATAAAGATAACTCATAAGATTTTGTTGTTGTTTTAGAGTATTGTATGTCAGGTGTCTTCCTTCTTTGGTCATTCTCCTCTCCCCGGTCCCCAGCTTCTTCTCTCATATATTCTCTCTCTCTCTCTCTCTCTCTCTCTCTCTCTCTCTCTCTCTCTCTCCCCTCTCTGTGTGTGTGTGTGTGCGCGCGCGCGCGCGCACACATGCTCCCCCCCCCCCCATGAACTGGAGCTCACTGATTCAGCAAGCAGATGGCTGACCAATGACTTCCAGGGACCCTTCTGTCTCCGCCCACTCCCTCCCCTGGCATGGGGTTACAGACAGGGTTGGTAACTCTACCACCTGTAGGTAATAGATACGTGTGTGTGGCAGGCTCTTCAGCAACTGAGCCATCTCCCCAGCCCTTAATTCATAAAGTTTTCATTTTTGCAATAGAGAAAGATCATTGATTTTAAGACTGGAAGCTGGCAAAGCATTCCTAAAAGGAATGACTCCATCAGTGAAGCCCCAAAGTGGAATTTTACACAAATAAATGATAAGCTACATTCCCCCGGATTTTACAGAGACCATTGCCACCATTAACAAAGTAACACTGAATATTCAACTGAAAGACGGGCAGTATTGCTGATGAATTTATCTTCCATGAAACAAAACCAAGTAGAAAACATTTCCCACTCAGTGGAATGGACACAGCAGCTTAAACAATACAGAAGACGAATCGGGCAGCCAGATTTAAGGTAAATCTTCAACAAGGGATTCATTTATGGAAACTGCTTGGGCTTCTACTAGGAACGCTCTTACACAATTCAAGTGTTTTTGGTATTTTAAAGAGACCCAGATAACTTGGGATCATGCTGGATTATATTTAGTATACACACAAGGAAATTCTGAAAAGAGCTTATTTTATTAAACCATAAGAAAAGAGATTAATATTTTAGACTAAATAGAGTGGAAGGGAAGGAAGATATGGAATTTAGGAGGAAATAGGGAATTTTTATAAGTTAGTAGAAGAATCCTACAGTTTGAAAGTAATTAATAGTAGGGTGCAAAAAGTCCATTCGGTGCCTAGTTATTCCTTTAGTGTCTAAAACACTCCCCATATCAACAGTATTAAAAAGTTTACGGTTATATACTATTAGCTAATTTAAACTAGCTAACATAATTTTTCATTGCTAGAAGGTATTACAATTTTCTACTATGGTGTCTAAATATTTATTTATCAAAATGGTTACTAGGTACATATCATGAGGGTTATGTAATTCTTATACTAAAATATAAGTGATCACAGAATTCACTGTGGGTTTAAGAATTATCAAACTGAGTATATAATAATGTTTGGCACAAAATAAGATGGTTACTCACCTATCTACAACATTCTATTAAAAACAAAATCACATACAATTATATTTTCTGAACTGCCATGAAATTAAAACTGCAGTTCAAATTAACAGTCAATAAAACCAAAAACCAAACAAAACTAAACACATTATCACACACGTCACTGGGGATACCAAAATAAACACCGGAGCCCAATTTTCATTCAACAACTTGAATACATATTAACACTCTCTTTGCTTCTACACTATGCATTTATGTAGTGCAGGGTCCACACTCCAAAACACTGACAAAAGTCCCAAAGACACACTTTTCCTTCATTGGTAAACTGAGCCATTTTATGAACAGCTCACTTGCCGGATCGTTAAACTGAAGGGTAAGTTTTTATGATGCTCAGGGAAAACTGGCTCAATCAACCGCCTTTGGTAAATTATCTATGTAACTGTGGAAGGCTATAAAGGTTTTCCCTTACCCGTTCCCTTGAGTACTGGAGCAGCCTGAAGAATGGCTCAGGGAAGTGCTACTAGCACATGGACTTTTCTTAGTAGATAAATCAAGTACACCGTCTGTAGAGACACAAAGAAATACCTGAGGACATTAAGAACTGAAATAAATGAACTGCATATGCTAAAAACTAGGAAATTAAGCCTAGGGAACATTAGTCATACTGATGTATTATATCCAATTTAAAAAAAAATCAAGATAAGTTTCTTCTAGAGAAACAAATTTAGCAAAGCATGTTATACTATTATGCACTTAATATATATGTATTTCTGAGGGCTAAATATCTTGTCAACAGGGCAAAAGAAGGTTAAAATATTATAGAAGATGCTAAGGTACACTGAGACATCAGAAGCATCAGTCACACAGCATTGGTTCTGCACTAGAATTATTATACTTCATTTTCTAAACCTTTATTCCAATGTATGCATATTTTTAAAAACCTACATCCCTTAATTCCTCAAATTTTGTCTAGTTTAAACTCCAAAAGCATACAAACTTCAATGTGGATAATTTATAATCAGAAAATTATTTGTAAATGACTTGATTATATTTCACGTATACACAAGATAATCTGAAGGGATGAATCACTTCATAGATTTTGATTTTTTTTGTATTTTAACTATTTATTTGTTGTTGTTTTTGTTTTTCAAGACAGGGTTTTTCTATGTAGCCCTAACTGTTCTGAAACTCGCTTTGTAGATCAGGCTGGCTTCAAACTCAAAAGATCTGCCTACCTCTGCCTCCCAAGTGCTGAGATTAAAGCTGTGCACCATTAGCGCTGGCTAGCTATTTTTTGATTAAAAAAAAAAAAAGATTATTTATATATACAGATATGAATGTATGTATGTATGTATGTATGTATGTATGTATGTATGTATGTATGTATGTATGTGAGTTAAATCTTTTAGGAAAGATTCAAATTTCAATTGCTAAATATTTTTAAATGGTGTTCAAACTTGGTGAAAAAAGAAAATGAACTATCTTAATATCGTAACAACTTGAAAGTATAACCAAAAAACAAGACTAATCCAGATTTCTGCAGTAATCATAAAATTAAACACTTTCTTTTCCTCAAAGTTAATTTTCCCTTTAAGACACAACTTGACAATTTCCAAAGTTGCCATTCCATCCAGAGTTAAGAAAGACAATTCAGAGCTTCTTATTTCTAGCTACTAGGGAGGAAAGTATTGTTATCTATGACAACAATAAATCCTTCATAGGATCAACTTATAACTTGAATTGTAGGACATTGCAACTTCCCATCACAAGTTGTTAGAAATATGCAATTAAACCTCTAAATTTTAAAGAGCCCAGCCTCACATAAAATTTTGTTTTTAGACATCACTAAAACATCTACAAACATAACTTTTATATTAAAGAACCAAACAGCATCTTATTAAATATCTAATACAAAGCAAATGCAGTGTTTAGAATATATCGAACTGGACAGTTACTGTAAGTCAGCCTCCACTACTGGTACTCCACATACATCTCCATGCAGTCACTTTTTTATAAATCTGAAGCTTTTGATGCAGTATTTAGAATCAAAAGATTTTTAGTGAAAATACCATTTTGTAGCAATAAAAGAGAAAAATGCCGGGCAGTGGTGAAACATGTCTTTAGTTCCAGTACTCCCAGAAGGCAGAGGCAGGAGGATCTCTGTGAGTGAGAAGGCAGCCTGGTCTACAGAATGAGTTCCAGGACAGTCAGCGCTACACAGTGAAACCCCTGTCTTGGAAACAAAACAAACCAAAACCTCCCAAACACACACCTTTGTAAATGCAGTAAGCAAAGGTGCACTGGTCAGTGTGAACAGAGAGGGCTGGAAGGGCTCCTATATGAGCTGCTCTCAAAACAAGGCATTTTGTTTACTGTTCACTATGTCCAACAGAGAGGAAAGAAACATAAAAGAAAGCCTACTCAAATAATTACTTCAGTAGGTAAATAACACCAGTTCAGAAAGAGGACATTTTATACATTACTTAAAATAAGGGTCCTTTTGAAGAGATTATTTTTTTTAATTTCCTAAAAATAAAGATATTTCTTTCCAATAAATCCATAACACACCTTTTCTGCTATTAAGTTTCGAAGACAATAATGTCCTTTTACTAAGACACCACCAATTATAGTCATTTTAGAAGTTCAAACAGTGGGCTCAGTTGCAAAACTGCTGACAGCACACTGTGAGAACACAAAGCAGCAGGGATTTTCCATCTATTTAAAATACGCGTCACAGACACAAGAAACACCTGAACAAAACTGATAACCTTTTAATATTTTTACTGTTTGGGTCCTCAATAATACTTATTTTGGAAATATCTTCAAGTTATTACCTTGATTTAGTACATGCAAATATATCACACTTAACTATCTAAACTGCCTTTTATTTGTAATATTATTTATATTTTTAAAGGCAGGTCTTATATGCAGCCCTTGCTGGACTGGCAGACTAGGCTGGCTTTGAACTCATAGAGATCCTCCAGGCTGTGCCTCCCAAGTGCTGGGATTAAAGGTGTGCATTACCACGCCTTGCTTGATATTTTGAAATTACAATACATATTTTTACTTATTTCATTTGTAGAGTGTAACTTGTGTGCTAATACTAGAATACTGAGGATAAATAAAGAATTTTTAAAGTTTCAAGAATCTGATAAATCATTTTAGAAAGTGAAAACACTTCATGTCAAAGTTTAAAAATAATTGCCTGAGCATGAAGGATGGCTGAGTGACCTAAGGCCCCAGACTCAAAAGTAATTGCCTGACTTTCCTATATGCCTTGCCTGTGTAGATCCATCACAACCACCATCTGCCGATGGGTTAAGACTATAACAATGCTACCTGTACCTCTCTATCACTGAATAGACAGGACAATTTCAGAAAGGCATTACTTTTCTTTTTAAGAGATAAAGTCTCATTATACTCGCAGATGGTGTTCCTGCCTCAGCCCATGTAGTTGGGACATACTGGATCATAGACCCGTGACCAGTTAGAATCACATTACATTCTATCCTATTCTTGTTGCTTCACCCTATTTGCAATTTTCTTTCTCCCCAAGTTAAAGTCTTCTGAGTGGACAGAGGAGACCATGACATCAAACCATACCTTGTTCGCTAGGTTCTGACTGAGACTTTCTGACAGTAAGGTCCAAAGGTGAATCTTGGTCAGCCATGAGAAGTTTGCTGAGCACAGGGTTCTGAGTAGTTGCAGCCGTGGGAGAGGTGGTGACTGGAGATGCTTTCGGCAGGCTTTGGTTCTTTGTGCTATTGGGCTGGCTGGGGTCCTGAGTAGAGCTATTTTTTGAGGTATATTCAGCAGCAAATTGTTGGATCATTCGCTGCATGATCTCACGGGCCACTAGGGAAATATTGGGGTCGGAGACCCAGGGACTGTCTGTAAACAAAGATTTATTTACTTTTAAAGTGGGACAATGAACTAAGGGAAGAAAAAAACAAAGAGACAGCTTTCAAGAAAACACGAAACTTCACATTAGTGTTTCTTTAAATTAATCTAGTATCCTAACAATTGTATTCACCATTTATTTATATTCTTAATTGGTAAGCATTTAGATCATAGATTATTGAAAATAAAATTTTCATATAAGTATTTATAAACAATTTATCCCTAGGTTTATGAAATTAAATATAGGGATAGCAAATGGTATTTTTTTTGGTAAGAATCACTTACCTGGTATGGAAATACCTAAGTTACTGCCAACATCTATAGATAATGTCAAGTCTCCCCTAAACTATCTTCTCACATCCTTCAAGCAAGGGTTACTGAATCTATGAGTGCTTAATTTACCTATTATTAACGACTAAAGGAATAACAACACTTTAAAAGATATTTAACGTTAGGATCCAGGATTTAATTTCAAGATCCATGTAAAAGATTGCTGGGTGCTGTCCCTAGAGTTTCTGATTCAGCAGCTTGAGGATGGCCTCAAGAAATGGCATTCCCAGCAAGCTGGTGGCTGCTGCTGGTCTGGGAATAATGGTTTTAGAACTTCTAGCTACGAGTTTAAATGTCACATTTTAAAAACTGAACACCATATATTTTCCATGAGTTCTTTAAATGTAACCTGCCAACATTCAGAGAATAGCTATGAAAGTAATGAAATGAACACCTAAGTAATAAATATTTGAATGTTAATTCAAAACAAAGGACAAAGAAATTTACCAACTGGAAAGGGCCTCCAAGTTCAAATGAGGTTAAGAGGAAAGGGGACACAGTCTAAGTAAACCTGTCACATCCTCACGTTTCTTTAATCCCCTAGAGACCGCATCTACTGATTTCTATATCCCTAATCTTGTCTGGTGTAAAGAATCTGCTGTAATTTATTTGGGTAATAAATATAACAATCAAATAAATTACCAACTTTAAAACAAGAAGTGTGACATAACTTAGGAAAGGTGGTTACTAATAAAACTTATTATATTCTTCTCCTGACCTTAATGCTCTACTGGCACACTGACTCCCCAAGGCCTAGCCAGAGCTTTTTTTTTTTTTAAACAAGAGTTGATGCTTAGCTAAAAAAGCATTTAGGTGTTCATAAGAGTTTAGAAACGTGAGGAACTCTAGAAATTGATTTATAAAGTTAAAGAGAGTCTGATTTTTTTAAATTTCTACTAAAATATAAAACCTCCACAATAAGAAACACATCATCAAAACACCACAAGGCTTTTAACAGATATTACCAGAAAATGTTCATGAAGTAGTGACACTTTTATCTAGAGACTTGCTCTACATGATTTTACCCACCCAAGCCATATTTAATAACTCCACAGTTCCATTATAAATACTCAGTGTTGCAATCAGTTTAGAAAAAAAGGTAATTAGCAAAATTGTTTCTATAACTAATTGCAATGTTTTATAATGTTTTAATAAAATATGAGCCATATAATTCCTTTAAAAACATTTTTATTCACTTGATTTTCGTGGGGGGTGGGCACTAGTGTCATGGTGCATACGGAGAGCAAAGAACAATTTGCAGGAGCCCATTCTCTTTCATGGAAGTCGTATGGATCCATCCTCAGTTGTCAGGCTTGACAACAAAAGTACCCTTATCCATCAAGTTATCTAGACAGCCCTTTTGAAATTTACTTAATGTACATGTGTGAGTACCTGCATATGTGTGTGTGTTAAATAAACATTAATATAAATTAACACAAATAAACAAATTACTGTCTATGTCTGAAGCCTATATAGGTCAGAGGAGCTTTGGAACTGGAATTACAAGTGATTTTGAGTAGCTATGTATATGCCAAGAACTGAAACCATGTCCTCTGCCAAAAGCAGCATGTGCTCTTAACTGCTTGAGCCATCTCTTCAGTTCCTAACATGGGTAATCTTATTTATTTTTTGAGACAAATTTTCACTATTTAGCCTTGTTGGCCTGTAACTCACTATGTAGACCAATCTGGTCTGCAACTCAGCAATCTGCTTACTTCTATCGCCAAGGATTAAAGGCACATGAATCACACCTGGCCTCTGAACTTACTTTCTTTGGTAGGGGGTGGGGGTGGTGGTGTTGCTTTGAAATAGGGGTTCTCTGTGTATCCCTTGCTGTCCCAGAACTCACTCTGTAGATCAGGCTGGCCTCAAACTCAGAGATCCTCCCGCCTCTGCTTCCCAAGTACTGGGCTTAATTAAAAGTGTGTGTTAAAAACCTATTTCCCCTACATAACATATACTCTCTACATAGAATGTTAATATGTTAGTGGTATATATGAAGTATGTTTTTACCTCATGGAAAGCAGGAGAGGATGTAATAAAGAAGAAAACTGCCAAATAGATAACGAAATGCAGCAATTTGTGGGATTATGATAATGAATAACTATTAAAGAACTTTGTGGTTAGTAAAAGATTTCACAATAAGAACTAATAAGTTCCACCTTGGATGTTTAAAAGCCAGTATTATATCTTGTCCCTTTATTGAATGAACACCATAGTTGTGAGACAAAATATTCAATGTGTATGACTGACATCACTGCCATTTAAAGTTTTCTATGTTCTAAGAGTTTCTTGAATGTATTCATTCTTTGACTTCCTTAAAGCATTCTGTAATTGTGGTCATACCTAGGGAAACACAATTGAGTCAAGTAAAAGCAATCATTATCAGATGCAAGGAGGAGAATCTACAGATAAATAAACATGTAAATTTTACAGCACAGCTGGGTGTGGTAGCATATCTTTTATCCCAACACTCTTGGTACAGTACAGCCAGTGGTATATTTCAAAATGCAAATACTATTTTTAAAAATTATTAAACAAATCTTTCTTTGAGATAGGATGCCCCATACACACATAGCTTTAGCTGCCCTGGAGCTTACTGTGTGGACAAGTCTGGCCTTGAACTTAGAGATCCATTTGCCTTTGTCTCCCAAATGCTGGGATTAAAGGCTACCACAGCTGGCAAAATTATCAAAACATTTTAACACAGCAGGCTAAAAAAAGAATGTGATTATGGTAATTGTGAGCAATATATAGTGAGTTCTCTTCTTAGAACTTGTTATACAGGCCCAATCACAAGACTTTTGCTGCATGTTTATTCCTACTTAGCTGTACAAAACTCCTACATAATTACTTAAACGATTTACAACCCTTGGAACACACTAAAGCCAAGCACAATTAAAGGCTAAACATGGAAAACATAAAAACCTGAACCACAAAATGCTCTGAAATTCCAATCTTTCAAGTGCTGACAAGAGACTCAAAAATGTTTGAATTTTGGATTTTCAGACTAGAGCTCTCAACTGTTAAAGTCCACACAGATTTAGGATATGAGAAAGCCAATCTCCAGTTAAACCAAATACTCTCTTCAGAAAAAACTCATTGCCATCATCTTTCTGAGTTAACTGTCAATTTTTGACATTACAGCATGCAAATTTCCATCTCTGAGATAATTTCATGAAGATTAATAAAATACCTATAAAGTAACAATATTAACATATACAGCAAAGACAAAGAACTTGCAATTCCAAAGTTTCTTTTTCTAAGCACCTCCCATCAGTTCACAACCAATATACAAATAAGTCAAGTTTCACACAAATTTGAAGTCTTGAAATCCTAAAACCAATTCTAAGGTAAGAATTCCTACTGTAAACATTATGAACCAACAGCTCATAAGAACTTCAACATAAACCAGACAGTGTTGTCGCACGCCTTTAGTCCCAGCACTCAGGAGGCAGAGGCAGGCGGATCTCTGTGAGCTCGGGGCCAGCCTGGTCTACAGGGCGAGTTCCAGGACAGGCTCCAAAGTTACAGAGAAACCCTATCTTGGGTGGGGAAAAAAAAGGAAGGAAGGAAGGAAGGAAGGAAGGAAGGAAGGAAGGAAGGAAGGGAAAAATAAACTCCACACAAGTTATTCTTTTAGAACAGAGGCACGGAACTAAGTCAGGTAGAATGCCACTGAAGGAATCTACTACGGCAATGCCTCCTAACCAAGAAGAGGTAGGAAGTGTACACTGAAAACAATGACCACACTAAGCAAGACAACTGGTATCCCACAGTAACTAAATACTAGAATCCTATTGTGGGGTGGGGTATAGACATAGGGTGGGCCACAATGGATGAACAGACTGACACCATAAACAGACAGACAGAAAGGGTTGGAGAGATGGGTCCATGATTAAGAGCATTTGTGTTCTTGCAAAGGACTGGGATTTGATTTTTAGTACCCACATGGTAGCTCACAATTATCTATAATTCCATTTCCAGGTATCTAACCTTCAAGAGCACTAAGCACACATTGGTACCCATACATACATGCAGGAAAAATTCATGTGTAAAATAAAATGAAAATTATTCTAAAGTTTTTTTTAAAGAAATAGAGGAATTTACTCTAAGAATTCCTAAGCCTCAAGATAGATGCATGCCTCTTTTTGACACTGCAACATAATGTTGTAATCAAATCAACTGCAAAAGTTTTGTGTTTTTTTTTTTTAATCTCATATTGTCCTAAGCTATGTTTGCAATTTTGTGTTAGTATACATTCATAGCTATCCTCTACTACATGTGGCCTGAGAGTCGTGGGTTGGACAAGACTGGTGGAGAGAGCTTTTCTGCTTTTCAAAAAAAATATAAAACACGCTTTTGTAAGGAAAATGATGTGTTGAAAATCCTAGAGGGAACTATTAAATTCTACATAAAATGTTAGCAAGAAAGTTTTATTAGTATGTGGTTTCCTACTTAATTTCAGTTCCCAATACCCAAAGGATTCACAACCACCGAAACTGTAGTACTAGGGATCTGCTGCCCTCTCCTGACCTATGACAACAACAAGCACACACATACATACATATATGCACACACACACACTCAGGTAAAATACTCACACGTATAAAATAAAAATAACTTTGAAAGGTTCTATCAATGCTTACAAAACAACTCTAAGATTCAACTACACTTTCGAATGAAATTTCAGGTCAGGCTTTTACAATTTACAGAACTAGTTTTTATAATTGTTAAGGATTTAAAGAAAGCATTTTATATTTCTAAAACTTGTCTTAAAAACTGCAGAGTTTCACGATAAATTTCTAAACTATTCAACTAAACCCCCACTTGAAAATTAAGAGGGCAAAAGGTTGTCTACCCTTATTCCAAATTTAATGTGAAAAAGGAATTGAGAAATGTTTTAAGAGTAACTTAAAATGACACTGAAATTATTGAGATTAATATAAGACAAGCAGGCTGTGTCATGTGTCACTGAAACCAACCTTTTCTATAAAAGACTGCATTGAGGAACTCTTCTGCTTGTCTCTGGAGTCGAGTGACTTTTGCGCGCTCTTGTTTAAGCAAAGCTCCGGAAGCTGGCTCATCCAGAACGACTAAGTGTCCCTGCAAAAATATCGCGTGAAATGTTTGTACAAAATCTCTCCCCATTAAAAAATATCCAAAGCACAGATGCATAAAGACAAGAGATACTAGCCAATAAGACAAACTAGTGTAATACAATTAAAATTATTTAGAAACCTTTCATCTGTTTAAATACTTAAACTTCTGTTCCTAATAACTGTATTGCAATAGCAGCTCTCAGATCTTACTGGATTGATAAATAAGTCAAAACTAGCACTATGATAGTGAACAGAAACCACACACCACCTGCTCTCATAAGTACATTTCAGTATTTTACTTATGGTATGTACATACTTGAACACAACATACATAAGATAGAGGTTAAAAGTTTCCAAAATACTGTAGTCAACTTATTCCAGAGACTCCCAACATTACTTCATTTCAAGGCAGCTGAAATAGTAACTTACTTCCAGTCTTGCCTCTCACAAGTAAACAGGAGACCAGAAAAATGATGGTAACTTCAGAAAATAAGATAGAGAAATGCACAGTATACCTTCTAAGCATCCTTTAAGTCCTGTGTTCACATTCCTTCCACATCACTGCAGTTTTTAAACTTACACATTTACTTTAACTGCAGACTACTTAAAGAAGCTTTCTAAATAAGAAATGTCATACTTCACACAATAAAATGTGTATAAGAACTGAGAGCACATTATAACCCACAAACTCCTCAAAGATTTAAAATACAGCCACTAATGTGCAACCACTTCCTATAATTTCACCATTATAATTATCATACCTATTTGTTTCAGTTAAGTTCTTTCATCAAGATAAAATTCAATTATACAACTCACCCTCAAAATGTAAAACCCAATGAATTTCACTCATATCTATAAACTGTTACTATCATAATGTGAATATTTGTATCCCATTAACACTCAACCTCCATTCCCCTATTTGCACCCAGCCTTAAGCAGCCATTTAATACTTTATGTCATCTCTGAAGATATGACTATTATGGCCATTTTATCTAAATGGAGCCTTTTATTTTTTATTTTTTTGGAGGGGTGACATTTTCTCCTAGAATATTAATTTCAAGGTTCATCTATATCATGGCAGGTGTTGGCATTTCCTTTATTGCTAAATGAACATTCCATTTTATTGCTATACCACATCTTACCCATTTAACAGCTGGTTACTACTATTTTGATAGTTTCCACTTTTCTACTATCATATAAGCAATGAGAGTATTACGTACTCAAGTTTTTGTGTGGATGTCTGTATACATTTTAGCTAGACAATTAAGTGGTAATTTCTGGATCATATGCTAACTATATCTAGCATTTAAGAAGTATCAAAGTAGCTGCACTACTTTATACTCACAACAAAAATGTATAGAGTTTCCAAGTTCCCTATGTAGCATGAATACTTTTTTTTTTTTTTAAATTATCTTATCTGTGGTAGATTAAATGTAATTGGCTCCCATAATCTCATGGGGAGAGGCACTATTAGAAGGTATGGTTTTGTTGGAGTGGCTCCGTCCTTATTGGAGGAAGTGTGTCACTGTGGGGGTGGGCTTTGAGGTTTTCCTATGGTCAGGATACTGCCCAGTGTTTCAATCTTTTTCTTGCTGCCTACAAGATGTAGGGCTCTCAGCTACTACTCCAGCAACACATCTGCCTACATGCTACCATGCTCCCCACCATGATGATAATGAACCGAGCCTCTGAAACTTTTAAGCAAGTCACCCCAATTAAATGTTTTCCTTCATAAGAGTAGCCATAGTCATTGTTTCTCTCCATAGCAATAGAAATCCTAACTAAGACATTCTAAGAGAAAAGTGCTATGTATGTCATGCTTTGGCTTAAGTTTCTATCATATGATGTCAAGCCTTTCCTGTGTTCTTTGGTCAACTGGATACATCTTGAAGATTGAGATTATCTGCTCACATTTTAATTAGACTATGTTTATATTGCAGAGTTCTGGATATATTCTATATGTATTATTATGCATTGAAAAGCATTTTCTCCCCATTCTGTGAGTTTTCTCAATGCCACTGTTTGCAGCAATTGTGTGTGTGTGTACACACGCTGTTTTAGTAGTAGAGGATCTAACCTAGCACCTCACAAGTGCCAGGTGAATGCTCTATCACTCAGTTATATACCCACCCCACTTTTTCCTTTTTTTTTTTTTTTAAAGGTGTGTGCAAGTGTAAATGAGAAGTGGATGTCAGATTCCCTGGGGCACTAAGCACACAATGATAGACAACATGCAGGCAAAATATCAATACATACACATAAAGACATCCAAACACAACTTAAAACTATACAGTGTTAAGTTGTACACCTGTCCCTCATATTTATATAGAATTGGTTGCTTTTAATTACCATATTACTCTAGTTAGAGCCTCCTAAAAAGAAGCTGAATGGAAGCATTGAACATGGACAGTACCATATTATTCCTCATCTTAGGAAAAAGCCATTTCAGACTTTTGGTCTTAAGTAATTTTGCACTTTTGCAATTTGTGAAAACTGTGTTTTTGTCGTACTTTTTTAAAAGTTGCATGATGTCTGCCATTTATTTTAATAAGACATTGAATTACATTAACTGATCTTGGGTTATTAAAATACCTTTCAACTCTTGAGGTAAATCTCACTACACAATGGTATAATTGACTTTTTTTTTTTTTTTTTTTTTTTTTTTTTTTGCTGCTCAATAAAGGATTCTTTACTGTTGATATCCCTGATAGTATTCAGTGATATTTCTGTCTGGTTTGGTATGGGCAATAATCAAACTCCTTTTTAAAAAAAAAGGGGGGGGGAGGCTTCCATCCCATCCTTTAGAAAAGTTAGTTAAGAATTAGAATTAATACTTTAAATATCTGGCAAGACCAGAATCCATAGTTTTTCTTTAATAATTTTTTTGGAGATTTATTTCATGTGATGAGTGTTTGCCAACATGCATTTATGTTCCTGGTGCCCATGGAACTCAGAAGGCATCATCAGACCCTCTGGATCTGGATTTACAGATGGTTGTGAAACCAAACCTGGGTCTTCTGAAAGAACAACCAGTGTTTCAAACTGCTGTGTTATCTCTCCAACCTCCAGAGTATAGGTGTGTGCGGAATAATTCTTTTGGACACTGTCAAGATAGGTCACTCAAATTAGCTTAAAACAAACAAACAAAAAAGCCACAAAACTGACTGGCCTATACCTGGGCAGGAGAGATTAGGCAGGAGAACCACATGAAGAGAATTCTGGGAAGAAGGGTAGTCAGGTGAGTCACTAGCCAGATACAGAGGAAGTAAGACATGTACGAAATGAGGGAAGAAGCCATGAGCCATGGGGGAAAACTTAGATAAGAAACTTAGATAATTTCACTTGTAAGAACTAGTTAGTAATAAGCCTGAGCTATTGACTGAGCACATTTAAAATTAATATTGAGCCTCCATGTCAGTTACTTGGGAACTAGCAGATGGGAAAGTCCACCTCCAAATGTACCCAATGTCCAGGGTCACATACACCCACAAAAAGCCTGAGAAAGCTTTTTTTTTTTAAGGTTCTAAATGCAAAGAACCAGAGCCAAATGTGGCTTCGTAGTCTCATGTCTCTCATGCCACCTGCAGTACCAGGATGTGTCTCCCAGAAGCTGCCTGCAGGAAAAACCAGTCACCAGCTGCCCTGCACTAAGCTAAGCTACACCTGCAGTGGCTGACATAGCAGTTTAAGATTTGTCTCATGTGATTAAAACAATACTGATGCTCAGTAAAAACATCTAGACAGGAAAAACCTCTAAACAAGTTACAGTGGGTTTAAATTATACATAAGCCTGGGAGAGAAGAGAAGGTATAGATAGTCATAAAAATAGAAATATATAATTTTAAAACAGTAAATTCCCTAAAAGGGGTGTAATTTAAGAAAAAAAACATTAAATAGACAACATTACTGTGTATTTTTCAGGATACTGTTTGTTATTGTGTTGTCTTTGAATTTGTTGACTGCTAAGGAAGGAATGACAGCTGTTAAGACACACTGGATTATAAAAACTGCTGGATTAAACCAACCTATATATTTTTAAAATTGGAAGTCAAGAAATTTGTTGCTTTGGGGAATAGGTTATGCTTTTATTTCCACAGGAAATGAGAGGCTGTGGGTTCATTCCAGGTTATTGGGGAAGACCACCTGAAAATCCTGATTTACTACAAACATAAGGAAATAACCCTAAAAGAGCTACAAGATACAGGATATGTATATTTTACCTGCTCAAACATAAAACAAAAAAAAATCATTTTTGGCCAACTTGTATACAAAACAGTCTATATTTGTATTAATATAGATATGTATGTTACCCTTAAGGTTGTGTATTTTCAGAGCAAGGGGACCAGACACCAATAAAAACAGATGGCTCAGGTGATCCAGTATCCAAAACAGCTTCAAGACTACTGGCTGAGATGATCCAGCCCCCAAGAATACTACAGCCAATACCTAACAATTATTCTGATTGTCTCAAGGTTCCCCCAAACAATAGAAACTAGTCTAGAGAATGATGCCTACATTCACAAGAGATGAATTATAGATATTTATTATCACTTAAGGGGGGGGTTGGTTACAAGTTGGCAATAGGGAAAAAGCTAAACAAGAGACTAAATTCAGAGATCTCTTTCTAAAAAGAAAAGGGGGATAAAGAAATGATAGGATAAAAGGGCAGATTATTAAATATACTTTTTTAAAAAGTAACTACTAGTCTTAAATATTTCACAATGGTATGGATTTTGGCATGTTGATACAAATTTAAAGTTAATTTTGTTATACTGTATATATGTTTCTAGTCTTTGGGGGTATTGTGTTTATGTAGCTCATTTAAAATGTAATGTATACAGATTAATAGTCATCTGTAATAGTAAAACTTAATATTAGTAAGTTTTCAAGGCCATACACAGATATATTTAGATAGATGGTCTTCAAAATTTCAAAGACCTACAGAATGTGGTATTTAATATAATTGATAATCTAAGGCTTTTCATGACAAGGAGACACATCTGC